TGTGAAACTGTGTTTTTTCAACATTAACAGAATATTAACAAAGTTTTGTGCACATTTGTAATGGAAACACAGCTTGTGAGACTCTGCAGRTAACACTGTGAAGCTTTAAACATGTTTTTTCTGTTATTGATTATAAAACAGTGCTATGGTAATAATACTTGTTGTTCTTTAGTCCTTCCCTGTCAGGTTTATGTTTTGTTCTTTCCAAACCTCTTTTCCTTCACCTTCTGCCTGAAGCTCTGTGTGTGTCTGCAGCAGTGTGTGCATATACACACACCCCGCTGTGTTCTTGGTGTTTTATCACACTGTGAACGACCACCGCCTCCTCTTTATGATTGAGTCACAGATCAGACGTCAGCACGTATATGTTTAAGGATGTTGGCACGTTTTCATGCTCAGAGGAAGGCCAGGAAGGTGCAGCTTCCTGGAGGGATACCAGGGAGMGATGACGCCTTTTCTCAGGAATCTTCACAACAGACACGCTCACACAAGCACTGTGGACTCGGAGCAGAACCCCTGCTTCTTTCATCAGTCAGCACATGGTTAGTCTTTGTCAGGGCTGTGGAGCAGAGCTGGTCTCCACAAGTCATTCTTCAGAGGTCCCCCACAGAGCACTCACTCCTGTGTGGTGACTTCAGCCTGCCTGTAAACCTCCAGGCTGGAAAATGACACATTTAAAAGCAAGGAGCTGAAGCTTACCCCTAATTTACACTACATGTGTTCTGTCTGCGCTCCGCTCCCCGCAGCAAACACAAACCCATTAWAATCAGAGTGTTTACACTGGCTGCACACGGCTGCACACGGCTGCGGTGAGCAGACAGCGATCCATCAAAATTAGAACAGATCCTATTTTTGACGGACGCCGGACCAATGCCGGAGTCAATTTTTAAAGATTGCGTCTCACCAACAGGAAAAGAAATGAGCACAACATCCGTATTTTCAAAATAAGACACTTTTAGGCTGGGTAATTTGTTGGAATAATGTTGAAATTGCAGCTATATTAAATATACAGATATATTTCCACACAAATGCTGTCGGAATGTATGGTTCTGTTTGGGAAGCAGATGGAAACATGTAGCATGAAGCATATGTGTACACACACSATACACGTGGATTTTATTTTGAAATCAGAAGTTTCAGAAAGACGACAGCGATACAGTTTCAACATAAATATCGAAAGCTTTTATATTAATGTTTCCAGCTGTGTTTGGAGTTCATCTTTCACAAAATTAGTTATTTTTTGCTGTGACTTCCTCACTTATCACTGAATTTATTGTGCGACTTCCTTCCTGCACTCTCTGTCGGACCGGACTGGAGTGGACTCTGTATAAATTGAGACACAAACTAACAGCTGTGACCTGCGCGCCGCAGCGCAGCGCAGCGGAGACGCATGTAGTGTAAATCTGGGGTTAGTCCCTGTGCTGCAGGAAGCATGAAGGTGGACCTGTAGAAACCATGGGTAAGGTCAGCAGGATGTTTTTAYCAGGCAGTGTGACCGAAGCCTCAGTGTTAGATTTACTGATGTGAGGAGGAAGAGGAGGAAGTAGCGGTGTGTTATCATGTCCTCAGACTCTGCAGAGCTTAGTTCTTGTTCAGGRCTGTTACCTGTACTGCTCCTACACTGACCTCACACTGGGTTACAGGTAAATTGTTGGAGGTAAAAAGGAAGTAAAATGGATGAAAGTTTGTCCTGCTGTGAACTAGGGCTGCACTGATTAATCGATTAATTGACAACTAATCGATTATTAAAATAATCAATGACTAAATTAATAATCGATTAATCATTTTCTTTTTTTGTTGTTCTTTACTTTGTTTTTCTCTCCAAACTGCTTTGACACCTTCCACTGCCACATCTACCTTTCTGTCATTGACACACATGCACAGTAGTGGTAACTGGGGTAGGCCGTGGACGTCACAAGTAGGGCTGCACCGATTGGTTGAAATAATCGATGACGTCGATTATGTAAATTTGTCGATGCAGATTTTTTATAATCAATTCTCTGTATTACATAACACCACGCGAATGTTCATGTAATTCCATTTCAGTACCTAAAAGCATCATTGTGACCGTATTAACATAAGAGTGGTGAGTTTTGTTCATTTGTTAGATTGTTAACATCTTACACTATATTTCTTTTAGTTGAATTTTATGCTTTGGTTGAGATTTTATGTTGATGTTAAATCTTTTAAGCTTTTTTTGTTAAAGAATTGACTCTAGAGTGCATATTTTGTGTTCATGAAAAAACTATTACAGAAAGTATTACAATATTAAAGAACCGTTCTTGTTAATTTGATGAAAACATTTTAAATTTCCAGTGAACTCACATCAGAATAACTTTTAGATTTGTTGTTAAAATATATGATTAATCGAAAACATAATCGTTAGATTAATCGATTAGAAAATAACCGTTTGGTACAGCACTGCTGTGAACAGATTTTATTTCTTCTCAGGTTCTTCTTATTTCTGCTGACAGCTGTAAAATCTGACAGCTGCACCTCTGTATTCTGCTGCAGATGCTTTGTTGTCCATGGTGGAAACATGGCAGACAGCACCTGTAGGAGCAGGTATCMGATATCAGCAGCAGCCCCTGACTAATGTGGGCTCACGTCTCTGAGGCTGAGCGTACCGTCAGCATTTCCAACTAGAATTAGCTTCTCATGTCTCATGTAGGAGGACAGATCTGTCTTTGACCTCCATGTGCTTTAAACAGAAGAGAAGTAAAAAATACTGCCAGCCCACCCGTGCTTCCTCTGGACTCTGTTAGCCACTGAAGCCCACCGACACACACTTGTGTTGTGTGTGTGTGTGTGTGTGTTCCACCCGTCCCGTCCTCCCCTCAGGAGAAACTTGATCCTCGAGGTGTCTCTTTACATTTTTCCATGCAGACCTGCTACAAACAACTTGCCGAGCAGAGTGGATTTATTAAAGCTGTTTCCCACTTCAGGCTCAGATCTGCTCAGGCCACAACTTTCATGAGCGTCTGCTGCTGGTTGTTTCTGCTGGGGGGAGGACATCAAGTGAGTTTTTACTGCCGGAGCGTTGTGGGTGGTTACATGGACGCTAGCATGGTAGCATGGCGTGTTAAAGTTAGCTTCTGCTTTAAGGAGCTGTGTCCCACCAGCTGACCCAGTCTGTCTGTGGGAACATGCGTCGGAGGCTTTAACAAAAGGCAAGTTGTGTTTTTACTGCTTTAMTGGAGAGAGGCTGGTGGTGCTTCATGTTTCCATGTTTAACAAKGTTTTAATGTTTGCTGCAGAACAACTGCTGACACGTTTGTGTTATTTTTTATATAATCATACTTATCGAGTCTGAAAACACAAAGCAGCACTAATCCCTCATTGTTCTGGCTCACTTTAACACTAATGTTTAACTCAGAAAAAAAGCTCAATTCTTTGTCTAAACTGTGTGTTTTTGT